GTTTGATTCAGCTAACATAAGTCTGCAAACCTATTCTGCACCAGTTATGCGCCCAATCGCCGCCTCCTCCCGCATGGAGTCAGGTAGCTGCACCAGAGGCTGCTTGGTCACAGGATCGCGCCCAAGGACGGAGTTGTACCAGCACGGGCCGAGGACCTGCCCGAGATTCTCGTGCAGGAGGCTTGTTACAGGGAAGAGCCCAAAATCTGGTATAGGAATCGTCTGGCCGAGTCGCTTTTTTCATGTCGACCAAAGCTTCTTCTACCGCATCACAACGCAGCTGCAGTTGAAGGTTCTCCGGGTAGAGATTGGCCTTCCGCCCGGCCCATCGAAGCAGGGCCTGGCGCTTGGAAGGCCGCTTTCAGTCTCACGAGCTGTAACTGCCTCAAAAGTGGGCGTGAAGAGACGCCGATGTTTCCTGTTGTTTCCTACTCTTTTTATCTCTTTTTGACTTTCTGCTTCCTGATGTGGATTCCCTCGAGACTTCCAAAGATGTACGATAAATACAAGCTATCTGTTATCTTGGTCTGTTCCTTATCGGTCTCACTGTGCGAAGCGCACCTGTGTCTGGGCAAAGGTTTCACCATCCAGCTGAAGGACGGGGACCTGGCCGAAGGGCAGCTTGCCCTGGGTGCCCATCTTCGAAATCTCGTCGTACGTCACCTGGCTTGATGGTTGAGATTGATTTGTTTGTCGATTCCGAGCCATGGGGCTAGTTCGGATATTCCGGATCTGGCCGAGGTACTCGCTTGTCCTCGAACTCTACCTTGCCGATGAAAAGTGCGAGCCGGATAGGTTCAGCCATGGCCTTTACATCCAGATAGACCAGTGTCGGCCGAGCCATTGCAGGAACAGCAATGTCTCAATCCCTGTCTCACATGTCCTCAATACCGCAACCCCCAGCGACTACATCCATGGAGGCGGATGCTGCAGAGCCATGTCTTCGTGCGACTCTAGAAACTTTCTGTGTGCCTTATCGGTGCACACTATGTGGATGAGCTTACAGGCTGGCCAGGAACTGCCTGTCACTTCTTCCAAAGCTTGGGCCGATAACCACGCAAGGAGAAGCGTCAGAAGTAACACTTGTAGCAATGGTAATTATCGCTCTCTCTGCCGTGCCATCCGCAGTAGTAAATTGCAGCGAACTGGTAGGAACGGCAACGAGAATACTGGAAGTGGCGACAGCAGCTCTAGCATGCACGGTCAGTTTTCGGGTTTAAATGTTTTGTTGCTGCAGTTCTATTCTACTAATTTATTGTTGGTTCTGTTCCTTATTGTTATTCTTCCCTTTGGTGGTGGTGATGGTGCAGTTGTGGTTGCTGTTGCTGGCTGTTGTTGTGACAGTTGCTGTGCAAAGGGTGGTGGCAAAGTCTCCTCCAAGGCTGTGCGCTGCATCTCACAGAGCCTCAGCAGCGGCTTTTTGGTGGTTTGGAGATGTTCCGTCAGACATGCTGTGCACCAGCGGAACCTCAAAGTTCTTTGTTGGAAGATCCCATGTGCCAAAAGCACGTATTCGGAGGACTGATGAGAACACAAAAAATAAGTTGAATGCAAGATCGTGGCACTCCATGTGCTCGAGAATAGCAGCACAGGGCAGCACTGCAATGAGTAGATTCCTTCCGCCGGGGTGCGTGTGCTTTGGCAGCTCCTTCTCAAAGAAGTTCTCTGAACACAGCCGCCAGCAAATGCCTAATCGCGACCACTTTCGCTTTCTAAGATCTGAGTTACACCCCGTGCCCCGGCTCAAGAAGGCATCGAGCATGCCCAGCCTGGGCGTGTCCTTCCTGCCCGTCCTGCTCGCTGTTTCGCAGCAGCTTGCGAGACCCACACCGTGGAAAACCTCAGTAAACGACGCTCAGCGTGCACAAATATATCTTGAAGTGTTTTATGGCCGGCCGCCAGAGAGATCGTGCAAGTCAAGTGCTAATTACTCGGCTTTATTCCGCCATATCACGGTTGGAAAGGATAGGCATACATAATAGCTTGAGACACTGCCAGGAAGCACGCTGGTGGAGCTCTGCGGCGAAAACCGCGTCTCCTTCACATGGCAGGAGTCTATGACGTGGGTGACGTCGTCGATGGTGATGGAAGTTTCTGCCTGGTGTTGCCACGAGATCGTGGCAACAAGACCCCTGCCCTGCTGCGGATCCATACGTAGTGCTGGGAAGCACGCCATGACAAGAATACACAACAGATCTCTGAAGAGCCTCAATCTGATTTTAGGAAAGAGTTCATTATGCACGGAGAACATGCTGTCCCCTTTGCCAGCTGAGCGCCATGCAATGTTGGTGGAGACCTTGATTCATCAACTCGTGCTGTTAACAAATGCAAAGCAAAGCTAGGTGAGTCATCTGGAGACAACTGCACCATAATAACAACATGATGGCATTGGCAGCACCCTGCCAATAGATTTTTTGCCGTAGCAGTCGTAGTTTGAGCTAGCACAGAGCTTTCTTCACCCGAGGCGACTGGGTGATGGTCTACAGCAAAGGTCGAAAGCTCCGTGGCAACCTACTATAAAAGTTTTATCCGCGCGCGGAGATCAGCAGGGGGCAGCAACTTGCTGCCCAAGCGCCGTATGTACAAGTGCTATGGCCGACGACCTTTGGCCACGAACCTGCTCTATCCAAACTAGCAGGAAAAACCGACTCTAACCCCAGGTGTCACAGATGTAGCGCTGCGTGCCTTGGCGATCAGTTCTCCAAGGCCGCGCATCCGCACAGATGCAGATTTGGTAGTTTGGGATTTGGAAGGAAGCCGTGGGGGATGTTGCAGAGTCAGATGCTTGCACTGGGCATTGACCGAGGAGCCAGCAAAACACTTTGGGATAATTACTTTGAGAGACTCAGCGCGCCCATGCATGCAGCCAAGCTGTCCGTGGTAGGCAGCCCAACTTGAGCTGCGTCACGTTGCCAGCGTAAGCTTTCCATCTAGCGTTGCATATGTATACCTCGTCGCCTGGGGCTTCTACGCTGAAGCAGCCGCAAGCGTTGGCTCGCTGCCTCCAGGCTGAGGCCTGCGGACTGCGGACTGCGGACTGCGGCAGCACACTCCATGCGCAAGCGAAAGACGAAACCTCACGGGCCTGCATGCTTTTGCAGGACCTCCACAAAAGCGTCGAAGACCTGTCTCTTGCACTCTTCTCTATGTGCCTTTCCTTGATGCTGTGGACAGTTTTCTGTGAGAACTTCGTGAGCTGCACAGCTTGAATATGTGCCACTACAGAGGATTAAAGTACAGAGGCGGTTGCAATGATTAGTAGTCGTCTTCACAATTGAGCCGACCCTATCTCTTGAATTGCAGTCGGGCTGGAGATTAAGAAACTTAGAGTACCCTACCCTCGCCGATCAGAGTTCTTATGCAAGGATTTCGAACTGGACTTGCAGCAGTATTGGTACCAGCAGTCGTCGTAGAGGCAGAAGTCGTAGCAGCAGTAGCTGTAGCAGCGGTGGTGCAGGTATTGATAGTAGTGGCAGCAGTAGTATTGGCAGTCGTTGTCGTCGCAGTAGTAGTAGCAGCAGGAGCTAGACGAGTAGTAGTAGTAGTAGTAGTAGTAGTAGTAGTAGTAGTAGTAGTAGTAGTAGTAGTAGTACAGACTGTTGCGTTACGACTTGGCCGAAAACTTCTTAACTCTGTTGCTGGAAAGCTGATAAAGAACTGCTGTATAGCTGATGTTCAATGCGAATTCTGGCTCTCATGATGCTGACCAAAAGGTTTTTTTGGTGCGACGGAACCTGCTCATGATGCTGAACATCTGCTCATGATGCTGACCAAAACGTTTTTGGTGTGTGTTGCACTGGGAGCCCAGAAAATCGTATGAGTGTAAACCATGAAAAATAGCTGATGCGCTGCTAACCGACCCCGACGACAAACTGACACTGACCGCCGGTGGAGCTGCTCGCCATGTCATATGGCCTGGGCACAAATGCCAATGAGAGCAATCTAATCTGAATCTGCAAAGCCTTACATTGCAGAAGCGAGGCCACCAGCGCATCGTCTCTGGCACGACCTGCAAACAGACAGGCAGGCACCAAAATATGGATGATATTATGGTTGTGATAATAGACATGGCTGGGCCTGAGCTGCTGTCTTATTTCTGCTCGGCAGGTGAGCTGACGGTGGTCTCAGCAGCTAGGCTGTCCGGTGGGAAAAAACCGTGTCCTTTAAAGGCTCGTGGATTAAAAACCCACCAGAATCAGAATGATGATGTGTCGACACAGTCTGTTGAGCTCAGGCCCTCGGCTCCGCTGGCGATAGAATTAGAATGACAGACACCTGACAAATTGCATGTGTCGACCACAGTCAGTCACTGACAACTGACTAGGAGAATGGTGGCGCTGACACAGACACAACGTCTGTCAAAATCGCCGTAAGACTACGATTTGCAATGGTCGACGCTGCAACAGCAGACAACACACAGAGATAGTATTATGACAACTAACACCTAGTTAGAATCACAACTGCTTTACCGGTTGTGCATACACATCGTTCCTTAACGCAGTGTGACCAAAGATCCCGCTAGGTGGCTTTAAAATCAGGCCTTGCGGCCTGCCACTTTCTCGTGATTGACTGAATCCGGCCATGCGACAGCTGTGACTGACAGTTGTTGTTGACGGCTGCAAAAATACGGATAAGTTCAAACCAACGATTGACGACAATATTTTATCAACTTGAGCTTGAACCCGCGGTGCCGCATGCTTCAGATGACACAGACACAGACACAGTCATCACACAATCTCAGCGGAGCCGTCTTTGAGGATCAGCTGCTTCGCCAGGGCGATAGCGATGCCGTAAGGCGTCAGCTCGCCGCCCTCCGACCCTGGTTTCTTGAAGACCCAGCGCAGCGCGAGGCGGTCGTTCGCCGTTGCCATGGCCAACACCTGACAGACAAACAGTAAATAAGTTGTCGTGGCTGTTGTTGTGGTTGATGATGCTGCTCTTGTGACTGATGTCATGGTTGTTGTTGTTGTTGTTGTTGTTGATGTTATTGTTGTTGCGGTGGTGGTGGTGGTGGTGGTGGTGGTGGTGGTGGTGGTGGTGGTGGTGGTGGTGGTGGTGGTGGTGGTGGTGGTGGTGGTGGTTGGAGTTGTTGTGGTTATTGTCGTTGTTGCATTGTCGCCGTGATCGTTGATTGCTTGTGATTGTTTGGTCGACTGTTTAATAACAAGCATGTTTTTGTTGTCTTTCTGTTTGTTTGTTTGTTTGTTTGTTTGTTTGTGTTTGTGTGTGTGTGCCACGCCTCCTGCACACGAGCATCGTTGGCCACGAACACTTTGTTCGACGCCGGCTTGTACTGCTCGTTGTGCTCCGCCACTGTCTTCGCCTTCGTCTTCTCCATCAAGGCACTGACAGCGATAGCCGCTGGCGACGACGAGCTGACGCTGATGTCGTCCTTGTTGAAAACCAACGTCTGGCGGGCGACCTTGTAAGGGACCGCATGCGCCAACACTGGGTCCGTCATCTTCATGATCTTTCCTTCTCTGACGACGGAGAGCATGCAATGCGGCGGGAGCTTCTTGTTGGTCTGGACGTCGCAGATGATGCTGACCTTGATCTTGCCGTCCGACCGCAGGAAGCTGACCTGGTAGCTGTTGTCGTTCACGCGAATCGTGTTCTGGAGGACGACTGACCCTGGTGGCACTGCTGGCGTCGGAAACGGCGCCGGGGTCGGCTTAGCTGGCACCTCGGCCTCCGGCTTCGGGGCCTCCGGCTTCGGGGCCTCCGGCGCCGACGCTGGCACTGGAGGGGCCGGCTGTGGCTTGCCAGTGTCGACGGCAGGCGCTTCAGGATCCTGCAAAAGCAGGTTTGCACAATTTAAATTTACAGTCTTTCGGCGTCAATATT